GATGTTACGTAAGAGGAATAACAGCTTTTAGGCTCCTCTGAGCATCCTAGCAAAGTTAGTTTTATCCCTGTTTTCATTTTTAATCACCTTTCTTGCCTTATGTACATTTTTTCCTCATTATTTTGCTTCCATTTTTTGGAAGTATGTTTAAGGCTTGCCTCTAATGCAGTCCCCTTAGCAAAGTCCCGTCTCCCCGTTGGCACAAACGTTCACCTACATGGCAGAACAGCTGGGGGAATCGTTTCTTACCTCTTACCACATTTACGTGATGACACACTGTGGACATGTGTGCTGTGGACAAGAATATTGAGAAATTCCAACTTCATGTGGACCAAGGAGGTTCTAAACTAGAGATGAATGTGGTGGGACTCACCAAAGCTATAAAGATCACTTTGTATATAATGCAGTGAACTATACCAAAAGGTTGCTTGCACAGTATTGGCTAGCTGTCTCTAAAGCAGGACAAATTAGTAGTGTAAAATGTTCATAAAATAAAAGAAAGATTCTGTGGGTGATGCCATTTGCCTTGAAAAATAGTGTTCAGAAGCCAGTTCTGCAATTCTGCATTGCTGCACGGCTGCTCTCCCCTCAGTGTGAAGGGGCCTGACTATGTGCTGGTGCATGCAGAGAACTGGCAGAAAACAGTCACGTTTGGAGTAGACAGCAGGGTGTTTGAGCAGTGGCATTTGTAATGAGTAGTGTGACAAAAGCTGCTCCTGCAAGATGCATCTGGCTTTTCTACAAAACTTGTCTCCACTCTCAGTTTCCATGAGTGGCAGCATTGCTTAGGGAGTTTTGCATCCGCTATAGAAAGACTGTAAATGCAAATGATCAGTTTCACGAGTGCAGCAAAGCTAAAAACAAAACACTTGTTATGGTATATCAGATCCATGTCAAAGTGCTGAACTTAAGTAAATAGCTTTTCCACAGGGTGTGAGTATGGCGTGATGTGATTGTCATTTAACTGCTGTGCCACAGAAGCAGGAGGGTAGGTGTGGGCAGATATTACCATTGTTACTCTGATGATGCTGTTTTCCACATTAATATTAAGCTTTTTTAGCCACTGGTGTAAAGATCTGCATGTAGATCTTTGAAAAATAGTGTAATGGAACACTGTATTGGTGGCTAATACAGAAATTTTGCTGGGAAGCAAATGCATGCCATGTTCTTTGTTTTCTTTTTTGTTGTTGTTATTTTGCTTTGCTTAAATTTTAGATGGACTTGTTGATTCATCCAGGCCCATCAATTCATTTGTTTCTCAACCGTGGCATAGTTGTCATAAGCTCATTTATGTACGGCCTAATCCTAAAACTGGTGTTCCTGTGGGACATTGGCCAATTCCAGAATCTTTTTGGCCTGATCAGAATTCACCAACACTGGTAAGTAAAATAAGAACTGAAAAAAGAATTCTACGTCTAACTAAACTGACTGAAAATTAGTAATAATACAATCTTTGACTCTGTTTAAGATCTAACTTTGCTCGGAAGGAGTATTTCAAACTGTTGTAAAGCAGGATGTTGTAATCTACTGTAGATATTGTATGCTGTGATACTTTCTGGATCTGAAAAGCTTATTGCCGTATATCTGGTTAGCTAATTTGGTAAAGAGTTTTTACAGCTCAATTTTGTAAGCTTTTAAAGTACTACTTGCACCACAAACTCTAGTGAGCCTTTTAAATGTTAATCAGAAGCTTAATAAAAAGTACTCAAATGGAGCAAGGAAGATACATCTTTATTCAGGAGGGTAGAAAACCTAATGTGTTTCTCTGTTTAGCAGAACTTCATATCCAGACTTTTCTGTCACTAGCAGGAAGAATTAGAACTGTTAGGGAAGATTTGCATCATTTACAAAATGAGGAAATACCAACATTCATTTCTCCTTCTAAACTGGTCATGCTTCAGGCATATCCTCCAGCATTTTTAAGTATTTCTCTCTTGTTGGGTGTATTCTGTTTCTGCGCTTTACAAATGCTCAAGAAACTTTCCCCTGCCACCACTTTCCTCCCACCGTAATTCAAGATGAAGAACTCAAAATTGTCAACATTCATTTCTAATACTCATCTTGAATACTCATCTTGAAGTGTGCACGATTTCGTGTGTGTGGCTCTGTGAGCATCGAGCTGTGAAGCAGAGCTGCAATTTTATTTAAATCATTTGTCGTTTTATGGATTGCTTGAGAAGGAGGCTTTTAAATATAAATAGTTAAATTTTAACCCTATTACTCTCATGGTGGGAAGAATGTGTGTGCTAGTGTTGTGGGTTTTTTTGTTTCTTTGTTTGAAGTCAAAGAAATACTCAGGTAATTGGTCTATATCATGTCGTGGGAGCTTATATCATATTTTTGTTTTTAAAGGAAATTATGAAAACAGAGTTTAGGCTTACTAAATGTTAAAATGCATGCTTATGAAGTCGGTCTGCCTCTTGTAATAAAAGACTTACTCATGGCTTGTTCCGGACAATTGATCTGTTGCGTTTCTCCTCTTCCTTCTAGCCTCCACGCACAGCTCACCCTGTTGTGAGGTTTTCCTGTGTCGATTGTGAACCAATGGTCATAGACAAACTTCCTTTTGACAAGTATGAGCTGGAGCCTTCGCCATTAACACAGTACATCTTGGAACGAAAGTCTCCCCATACCTGCTGGCAGGTACTTGGCCCTCAATTGATTCTGGAAATGTAATGGGTATCATAGAGGAGCAGGATCATAGACGTGGTGTGACTCTAGACAAGGTCTGACATCAGACCTGTGACAGATGACAAGAAACATGTCATGGCCTCAGTTACCTGCTTTCTAGTAGAATTATCAGAAGTTCAAAGGCTTTTTTTCTCTATAGGCTTTTTAAGTTCATGTAATTCTGTTTCTACATCAGTCACGTTTTGGTAAGAAATTTGTACCTTGGGTTCCATTTTTGGCTAAATTGAAATTCTCTTGCAGAAGAGAATTTGCTTACGGGGAGAACGTGGCACTGGTTTCCATCATAGCTGTAAACACTGTTTGGTTAACAATTTCCAGTAGGCAGTTGATACTGCTAATGGGAACTGCATGGAAGCTGCTTTGTTCACTAGCCTGGCAGCTGGCTTGGCCTTGGAGATGTTAAGTTCTGTTGCTGAAGTCCTTTGCCACGTGCTGTTTCAGTGGTTTTGGACAAGTGACTTTTTTCTGCATCCTCTATAGAAAAAAGTTTCTAGTTCCTTTCTCTGTGGTGTTCCTGTAAAGGATAGCTCCATATATACACCAGGAGTTTGCCTAGTGTAATCTGGAAAGGGTTTGTGGAGTGTGTCTTTTTATTTTTAGTTCCATCCCACCTCCAGTAAATATTAAATCTTAACAGGAAGCATAACAACCATTATTAGAAGAAAAATTGAAGACAGCAAGTTAATTGCAAAAATGGCTTGAACGCATTGATAAATTTCATTTGCCTAAGTCCTACAAACAGTTTTAGTTCTTAAAATTTCTCTGCTGTTTCTTAAAAAATGGCTTTTTTGAAAAAAAAAAAATCCCACCCTCACAAACTAGAGAAATAGGCTAATGAACATATACACCATTTAATAAAACTGATTCCTTATGAATCAAGTCGGCGGGAAAGGGGCAGTGAAAAAAGGGAAAATTTATAGGGTTTTTTTTTCAAGGTCTAACACTCTTATGCATGATTTTAAAAAAAAAGGAGAAAAAAAAAGGAAAATCAATAATGGGATATGTGGTATAATTAATAGTATTTTCTTGAATGTGTTTTATTTTTATGTTTAAAAAGTTTTATATATCAATTTTGTAAATTCTGATTGTACTATTTTATGTACAAATCAGAGGGTTCATTTTAAATCTGTTGTTTTTTATAATGCCCTTAACAGATGCACCTTTAATCTGTTTTCAATAGTTAGAAGAGTATTCAGAGCATTAATTAAAAGTAGGCTCGCTAAAGATTATATTGTGAAAAGCTTTTCCACACTGGGATGTTGCATTTCTCTATTTCATGGCTGAGGAATACAAGTGTGTGCTCACTCAGGGTGCGCAAGCTTCAGCTTGGCCATCCTTGATAATCTGTTGTTCTAATGGAGTTGGATTCAGGCTGTTTTTAATTTTAAATGCTCTCTGCTTAATGTGCTCTGTGTTCTTATGATACAGTGATACCTCTTATTCTTTATCAGGTATTTGTGAGTAGCAGTGGAAAATACAGCGAACTTGGCCATCCGTTTGGGTATTTAAAAGCAAGCACTACTTTAACCTGTGTAAACCTCTTTGTGATGCCTTACAACTATCCTGTTTTACTTCCATTGCTAGGTAGGTACAACATTTACCTTGGTCTGCTGATATAACTACTTCAAAATGAAATAAAAACAGTAACGGTTAGTGCTCTGCCTTAGTTTGAGACATGATAAAATAATGGAGATCAGAGAGTAGAGAATGTTGCAAACTCTTTAATATAATTTGGGAGGAGAGGATTTTCATACCCCCTCTCCCTTTTTTTCTCTCCAGCAGAGGAGGAGAGCTACCTGCTTCCAGTGCATGTTTGATGCTGTTCACCTCCTAGACACGTAGCCTCTTCCTTAACCTGGAGTAAGCTTCAACCTCCATTCTTTTCCCTCATTTAGGGTGTGGTGTATCCAGGTTTTGTAGCTGCTCTTGCAGCAGCTTGTTTTTGACTGGAAGATCAGATGCAGGGTTTCTTATGGGTGTTGGGAAAAGGGAAATTCCCTGATGCAGTTCAGAATAGTGAGGAGAAACTGAGTAATGAAACAGCCCATGTTTCTTCCCTGCCCAAAGGACCAAAGTTCTTCATTCCCACAATGAACTTTTTTTTTTTTTTTTTGAACAGGAAAGACAATATAAAAAGATGTTGTATGAATAGATGCCATGGTAATTGTGGCTGTAAAGGTTCTGGTTCCTGTGTCAAAAGGATAGCTGCAGCGAGAATAGGTTCCTGGGTGCTGTTCAACCTGTTACCTGTAGATGACGTAGGCCTTTTGTTTTTTTTTTTTTTTTTGTGGGTGTGCCTTAGTGATACAGAATAACAGCAAAAATATAAGAGAAATAACATTGAATCTCCTTTTATTTTTTAAAAAACCATTGCATTCAGTTCTAGGTGAAACAGTTCGGGAATGCTTTTTCACAATCTCACAATCACAATTTGGTCATAACCAAAAGGAGCATACATTCTTGTTGGTAATGTGAATTTGTCTCAAGTAATCATCCACACAGCCTAATAATAGTCCCAAAGTGTGCAAGTAGGATATTTCTAGGCTAAATTACAATTTCTGTGAGCCTGCTGCTGAGTTACTGATGGAGATCTACTAGTTAAGTAGTCATCGTTGATACCAGATAATTCCCATACTCATTTTGGTGTGGTTCTGATGCTGACATTAGTGATTCTGCCATGGCTTTCTGGGCAGTCCGTGTCCTCTCCCCCTGCTTTTCTTAACAGAGGTTTCTGCTTTATGGACAGAGGCACCTCGTCAGTATTTGTAGTGCTGTTCTGCAGGTCACTCGCATCCACCTGGTATCCCACATCAGAAATTTCTGAAGCTGGTTTAAAGGAGAGTGTGAAGCTTCCATGTTGTCCGAATACGAATACAAATTCTAGTATACAAATTCCATATTGGTAGCAAAGACATAGGTAAAGGGTTGCATTCAGCTGCAGTGGATCTGCTGTTGGAATCCAGAGCTTTTTAAGGAGCCCCTTAATGTGGCTGTTGGTAAAACAAGGAAGCTGCAGAGCTCAGTGGTGCCCTGCGCAGCCCTGCTCGCCAGCTCTCGCAGAGCTCGGGCACAGCCCGTGGGACGCGTGGGTGCAGCTGAGCTGCCCTCAGCTGCTCATGAAGCCTCGAGAGCCGTCCTGGCCCGTTCTGGTAGTGACATGACTCGAGACTCGAGGAGACAGACGTGCGGGGTGTTCTCTGCAGTGCCGTGAGGTGCAGGAAGCTTCCAAGGACAAAGCTCCTGCAGATGAACAACGGTGTGCTTTGATGCTGAGCATGTGGCTGGGATTATAGAAGCTTCTTCCTGAAGGACTGTTGCCTTTGATATTAGCAAAGCCGGTGTACTTTAAGGTATCTTGCTATTTAAAAACAATTTTACAGCCAGATTCATAAAACAGAAGTCTGTTGAGGGGTTAGAGATCAACGTAGCAAAGATGAGTATGATGCCACGTGCTACTGCCTTTCCTAAGATTAATTTTTTCAGCCGATCTTCCTGGTTCTGTTAGTGAAAGGCCAAGCACTGATGGACAGAGGGAGAGCTTATTCTCTGCCAGTATCAGCAGAAGCAGCAGTGAAACAGCAGTGATGCAAAAACCATGAGGTGATTATACCCTTTTGCCATGAGACTAAATATGCAGAAGGATGAGCGTGTAGAAGATGCCTACCCATGAAAGACTGCAACACGGACAGCTGCTTTGATGCTTTTATAGGCTTCTGCAGAGAGCCTGTAAATACGTTTTTAATGTTATTTTGAAAACTAAGGGCAAAGCAGAAATGCACACATAATCTGCTGTTGCACTGGGGAAGTGAAGACCAAATACTTTGTACCAAAGCAAGGAGAGAATAATGCCTTACCCCTCTGGTAGTTAGATGCTGTTTTACCTTGTAGCTCCTTGTTTTTGGCTAGGTGGCTGCAGGGAAGGTTATTACTTCCGTGAATGTACAATGATGAGACTCTACTGCTTAAAATGAAGGATCTTATCTATTAGAGGCATTGGAAAGCTCAGAGAAATCCAGGAATTGGCAGGGAATAGTATTGTACTTGGCTAGGTGGAGTTTGATGTGGGTTGTAATTTAAAAAATGGTTAAATTTTAACTCCAGGTTACATGACGCAGACTTGTTTTGAACTAGACTTGTCGCTTTTGTTACTTTGGTAATCAGGCTTCGAGAAAACTACGGTTTGCCTTTTATTATTATTTTAATACACCTATTCACTAAGACTGAAAGTACATCAAATCCCCTAAGGTGGTACAGAATTTTAAAGATATTAGGATCATGTTTGTCACCATTTGGTGGTTATCGGTAAAGGCTGTTTGTGGTGCATGCAGATTAACTGCCCTGTCTGTAGCTGTACCTGTGTTGTCTTGAACTGTTACAGCTTGTTGCTCTCCCTAATGGCTTCTGATCCTATCTTCCAAATTACCAGTGCTTTTGAGCCCTTTGAGTTTAGCAGCTGTGAAAAGAATTTTATTTAAATGGTTTTTGGGCTGTGCAGAGAGCAGCATCTGGAAATCAATAGGTTGGATCAAAGGTACTCTGTGAAAGAATTCTTTCAGTACTTTTGCATTTTATTTACAAAGGTAAAAAGATTTAATCTACAAAAGAAATAGTTAAGCAAGTTATCAGTTGTTTGATTAATTAAATAAATGCTCATATGCAACCCAGAGCACAGTGGAAAAAGTACATTTCAATCTGCTGTGTTGCAATCTGCTGGAAAGTGTGTGTCTGTCTGGAACGCTTGCGACAGAGGCAGGTAAGGTGTTGCTGGCAATGTGTTCATTAAAAGCCGTGGCTGTGTTTCCCACCATGACCTTCTCCCTCCTGGAAGGCTGGGGTTCTGCACCGAGCTCGCGCTGCGCTCGTCGTAAGGAGGATGGGTCTGTGCTGAAGTTCTACTTGCATTTCAGAACTTCTTTTTTTGGATAGCAAAGATCAGGGAGGCGCCTCTGCGTCTGCCTCCCCAGACCACAGTCATGCTGTGGATTAGGGATTACGGCTGGTTGGAGGCAATGTGTACTGTGAACGTGTAGGCCCGAGTGCGGCTGCTCTGTCGAAAAATCAGATAGTAATAAATCACCAGGACAGCATCTGAGGCTTAAGCTACACTCGTAACCCGTTTACAGACTTCAAAATATTGGTGCATATCTAACAAAATATTGCAGGGATTTAATGCTTTTCATTGAATTTTGGGAGAGGGTTGTGTAGTTTAACTTCATTTTGCTGCAATATGCTAATAGGCTTATAAGATAAGAATGGATATTATTTTGCATTTGCCATATGTCAGAATATTATCACAGGTTTTCTTGCACAATAGCACTAAGCGTGTGGTGTATTGAGATATAAAATGGAGTTCTAAGTTGTTCTTGCAAGCTCCACCCCACTTCCTTCAGGCCAGGAAAGAGAATAATTAGAGCAGCTGTAGTGCAGTTTTTGTATGTGATATGGAATTCATTTGGATTGGAAAATACCTGTAATTAAGTGTGGTTTGATGATGAGAACTTGGAAAATCCTATCTTAACATCTGTTCTATTTATGCAGAATGCTATGCAAGTCAAATTTTTCTTCTCCAAATATATCTTCCTGAAAGCTCAATCTGGAGAAAATAGTTTCATTGCTGCATCTGTCTTTCTCGCACTCTTCTTTGCACCTCCCTGTCTCCTGCAGCTCTTCCTGGTTAATTTTTGGAGATCCCTTTTTTCAGTCCTGTATTTACCTCCACTAGCCTCCCTTTGCCAGCATATTACAGGCCTAATAAGAAGCAACTTGATCTCAATCGATAGATTATAGTCTCGAAAGATAAATAGCAGGATGTTGTGTTCCCTTCTGACGTTTGGGGATCACTTACAATGCTCATGTGCACAGCAAGCAGGTACCTGCTCCGAGCCAGTGCCTCCTGCCCGGGCACGCAGCCCTGTAGCACGAGCCAGGCGTTTCCAGAGCAGCATCCGCAGGAGCAACGCGCTGCTCCCCTCCTCGTAGCCGCATCCAGCACTCGGTGCAGCTAATTCCGCGTCTCGTCCTCTCCGGGGGAGGCTGCGGCTCGGCAGGGCGCAGGCCGGGGCTGCAGCCTGCCCGTCCTGCCGCTGCTGCCAGCCGCGGCCAGCAAAGCTCCCCGCGAGGATTCCCTGCTCTCACTATTACTTTTTTTTCCCCTTTTCTTCCCCTCTGATACCTAACGATGTTTTCATTGGAAGCCAGGATTGAATTCATCATTCAGGTGGAACAAAAAGTGGTATTGAAACTGGAAATTGAACCAAATGAGTGTGGTTTGGTTTAATCAGATGCAGAGAGTCCCTGATGATGCGAAAGAGCTGAGGGAGGTGAAACTCTCTAGCAGGTGGATGTCACACCTTCCGTGGTACTAGTGCTTGTGTGCAGTATTTAAGATTCTGACATACACTGTAAGTTTATTATACAGAGGAGCTGTAAGTTTATTATACCGTGAAAGTTTGCCTGTAATGAGGAATCATTCCAGAGTATCTATTGCAGCTAGGACTGAGGATTCCAAATTCTTCAGACCTAAGGTTAAGGAGTCCTTTTGTGGGGAAGCCCCATTGGGAGATGGGGGAGTGGGAATAAAAGGGGAGAAACTTGACGTGTTGAATTTCGAATAGTGCTAATGGTCTGGGACTAAATAAATAAAACCTTGTTTTGTTGTTTTCCTTGTTGCAGATGATTTGTTTAAGGTTCACAAACTTAAACCAAATCTGAAGTGGCGACAGGCTTTTGACAACTACTTAAAAACCATGCCTCCTTACTACCTACTGGTATGTTCCTTTCTCATCTTGTTCCTGGGTACAATGATGGCTAGTGCAACCAGAGTCCTGCACGCTATACCTCTTTCCAGTAAACTTTGCTTACGTAATTCTGATGCAATTTCAGATGGCAAACATTTTGCTTTGCAGAGGTATATAGATTAGGAATCACACATTTAAGAAATAAATACCTTTAATAATGTTTAGTAATTGTTTCAAGATAATTAATGTGTGTTCAGTTCATTAAATATTTAGTAAACTTTGATTTAATATACTCTAGATTGTTCAGAGAAACCAAATTTGGCATTATTTTTATAGCTTGGTAAGGAAAGTGTGGGTTTCCTTAGCATTAACTTGGGTGAACCGCCAGAACTTGGGAAGCTGCTGCCAAGGGAATTGGCCTCGGCGGGCGGGGGGCGGCGCGGTCACCGTCACCGGAGCTTGGACAATGCACCTCAATACGGACTTGCATCATCCCGGCTGTCCTGGTCCTGAGCCTCGGAGTGGAAACGGCCAGAGGCGCCGCAGTGCGCGGGGCCTTGGTAACGTGCCATACGGTCCATTGCGAGCTAGGTAGACTGCCAAACCCGTGACACGTGTTATCTGAATAGACTTGGATTTTAGTTGCCAAAAGTGGAAAAGCTAGAGCACTAATCCATGTGCCTTAGCTTCCTATAATTGATCTTATAAATTTTTTTTAAAGACTTACTCTCTTACTATTGTGTATTTTGTTTTCCTTATAGCCATTAAAGAAAGCCCTAAGGATGATGGGAGCTCCAAATCTGATATCAGATAATTTAGATTGTGGACTTAGTTACAGTGTTATCTCTTACCTTAAAAAACTCAGCCAACAGGTAGTATTGATAAAACCTTTGCAATTAGAAGTGCGTTGATTATTTAGTTTGTGGTAATCTCATTATAAAGCAGTTGATCCCTGTGGGAGTTCATATGGGTGTGCAACATATGTTATAATTGAAGACTGGTGAGCATTTCCACTGCAAATATGGATGAATCTGGATTGGTTCTAGAACCAGTGATTGTGCCTTCTGTAAGTGGTGGAGGGGAGTGAGGAGGAGACCTCTTCTGCTACATTTTGAACATCTACCAGACCTTTAAAGTCCAAAGATTATCGGTAATTGGATTTGTGGCTGCTCTTGCCAATATTTATCACCGCTTAAGTCGGGTTGTTCTCAGCTTCATGTTTATTTTTGAGGGTGACTTTGCAATGAGCACATTCCAAAAAAGTGTACCACCTTTTCCAGGAGGTGTAAGATCCTTGTTTGAGTTTACATCTGAGCTTCTTGCTTCCTTCAGGTCAAATCCACCAGGTTTGTTAAGCGTGACCTGATGGGAAGGTCTTGCACATCTTTTCTTTCTGTCAAGAAAGCCTTTTCAGGTGTAACTGAAAGCCATGCCTCCTTAGCATGAGTGCTTCTGGAACAGCAGTTCAACTCCTAGAAATCTAGTCAGTGGGGAAGGGCAGCCTTTCCAAATTACAAATTAAAAATCCTCCCCCTTAAAGAACGCACAAATACAAATGCTCAAAAAGCCTCTGACATGAGTGAGCATCTGTTAGATGTAAAACTTCCTTTGCTGTTTCAGTAGCTTAATGATACAGAGATTTTTATTATTTACCTGCAATATAGAGTTAGAATGGCTTGAGATGGCCATGGGGTTCACAGACCTTCTCAGCACATGAAGTAGTTCAAGTGTGTTGCATGCCTTGTAAGGCACAGGGGCGTGCAACTCCCCAAGTCTGGTGGCCTCCTGCTGTCTTCCAGCTCAGAGCTTCTCAGAACAAGCCCTGCAGAGGATGAGATCTGGGGGAAGCGGGTTGCAGTTAGTGTGGTTTGGGTGTTGTGTGGGGTTTTTTGTATGTTTTTTTTCTTAATTTTGGTGGTTGGTTTTTGAAAGTATTGCAAGTGGGTGAAAATCTTACACTGAATAGACTTAACAGTGTGAACAGTAGAGAACGGCCTTATACTTGGGTGTATATTCTTCTTAATCAGTAAAACTATCTGTAGCTATAGTAAAAAGTTTATGCTAATTGGAGAAGCAATATGGTTTAGAATCTCACTGAAGCAAACCACGGAGGTTCTGCTACTTATCTTTTTGCAAGCGTCATGCGTCTTAGTTCTTGGGTTGATCCAAACATGAAATCTGAAGTGATGTCATTGTATCTGAATAATACTGTTGCTTTAGATGTTACTTTTAAAATAAGCTAAGGCATCCCACCTTCTGTTATTCTTTTTCTCTTTAAAGACGAGTCTTCAGGGGCACAAAAAGAAATTCACAGACTTTGCAGCAAAACCAGCAATATTCACAGACCTGGCCATATAAAATGAGATATACTGGCTAAATATTTTTCCATAAGATAGCACAGCAGGGTGTTTTTTTTTTTTTTTTTTAAATCTTCGTTAGAATCCAACATATCCCTGAATAGGTAGTTCTCCCATTTCTTGAGTACCTGGGAGCCAAATTTATAGTTTTAGTTTGTAAATGTACTGAGTGTTTAATACGTGAGATATGCAATGCTTGCTGATCCTTTAACTCACGATGTGATTCCATTTTAGACAAAAATAGAGTCGGAGCGGATTATAGGTTCAGTGGGTAAGAAAGTTCCACAAGAAATTGGAATAAAAGTGAAAAATCACTCCAGTGGCCTCTCCTTGGTGCACAGTAGGGATTTTAAGCAACTGCTGCAAGGGATCACTGGGGAATCTCCACTGAGACTGGCAGAAATGAATGTTAAAGAATTTGCTGGCTTCCACATAGGACTCTTAAACAAGGTAAACACCAGAGTAATCTTGCATGATTAAGCAGTTATCTGATCTGTTTTAATGGGTAATTTTTATAGACTTAATCTAGAAGAAGGAAGGAAGGATTTCCTCTGAATTGTGGCAAGTGAAGAATAGACTTAAAGAGAAGGTTAAATGCATTTTTTTTTTTTGCACATGCTTCTTGGACATGCCTTGAAAATAGCATAATAGTAAAATACATAGTACATAGTCATGAACAGATTATTATGTTTTAAGTGTCTCTACAAGAGTCAGCTAATGTTGCTAGTCTGGGGATTAACATGCTTAGTTTTAATGGAGCTGAAAGTGCTAGTGATGAGTAGAGTCTTGCTGAAAAGACTGAGCAGACACCGAGGCAGCTGTATCCACTTACGAAGATCTGAAGTAACTTCAAGATATGTATATATATTCTTTAACATTGCTACAATATACAGAGGATTTTCCATGCCTGAGAATTGGTAGGCTAACCTGCAAGTTGTTTGTTTTGTTTTGAAATTAGGATTTAAAACCACAGGCATTCAGAAATGCGTATGATATTCCTCGTCACAGTCTTCTAGACCAGCTAACTAGAATGAGAACCAATCTTCTGAAAAATCAGAGGCTCATTTTGGGGCAGGATGAGGGTAAGTAGCCCCTATTCTTCATTAACAGTTTAGAAATGGAAGAGCTATTTCATTATTCGTGGTGTCTTCTGCCCCAGGCTTGGGAGAGGACTGGACTGTGTATCATTTGTTAGGGGTCAGTATCATGGAATCATAGAATGCTTAAGGCTGGAAGGGACCTCTAGAGGTCCCTTTACTTCCAAGAGGAAAGGAGGAGAATTTTGCCTTCTGTCATGGAGTGTCGTGCTTGCTCTGAATTTTCCAAATCATCTTCATGAGAGGGCAGTCCCGTTTGATAAGATGCAGTAGGCAGATGTATTTGTAGTGACAGTAGCTTAAGCAGAAATTAGCTTATTTCCAGTTTGCCCTTGTTAGGTCTGAGACAGTTGTTAGAATAGCAATTAAATTTACTTATTTTCCATCCTGCTTGTGCAAATTAAGCTTAGCTCTTGCCAGCATTATTTCTAAAGTTGTAGTCTTCAGCTCTTTCTCCGCAGTGGAAAGAAATATTCATTTCTAGTTCTTAAAATGCCAGCACCTGTAATTGGAGAGTGTATGTGAAGTTAGTATGCTTTGGTTTAAAGCAGACTAAATAAGATCTTCTGTTCTGCTTCAGATTGCCTTCATAGTGTCCCTGTTGCTCAAATGGGAAATTACCAGGAATACCTGAAAATGATGCCATCACCCCTCCGGGAGATCGATCCAGATCAACCGAAAAGGCTTCACACGTTTGGCAATCCTTTTAAACAGGATAAGAAGGTAGGAGGAGTCATGCTGTCTGCTGTATAGTTATACTTAACACGATTTGACACACTTAATTCATGAGTAGAATTTCTTATCTAGCCGAAGGATATTCCTAACCAGTAGAGTGCTCTAATACGCAGAAAGATATTTTTCATGTGCTTTAAGAGAAAGGTCTAAAGATTGTGTTCAGTTAGAGTGGTGCTGGTCAGCCTCTGGTTACCGTGTGTTGGACATATTTGTATTCTGAGAGCTGTAAAGGGCTTCCGAAAGCACCTGAATTGTAACATGGAGGGACTTACTCTAGTAATGAACTGATAAAATGGTTTCAAATCCTGTATTTTACTCACGGAAAACAAATGCTTTTCAGGGTATGATGATAGATGAAGCAGACGAGTTTGTGACCGGGCCCCAGAACAAGGTGAAACGTCCCGGGGAGCCCAACACCCCCGCGTCGCTGAAGAGGAGGCGCAGCATGTCCCCGCTGCTGCGGCGCCCGCAAGCGCCGCCCGCCACAGCCAACCACGTCGGGGGAAAGGGGCCGCCCGCTGCGCCCGGCTCCCCGGCGCTCCTCGGCCTCAAGGGCATCTCTGCAAACAAAGGTAAAGGGGTCTGCGGGACACGCCTGGTGTCATCACAAAGGGAAACACATGCCAAAAAAGGATCCGCTTACTCCCTAAGCTAACTCAAGAGGATGTCAGCATTTGTACGCGCTAACTAGTATTGGTTATAACTGAATTTCCCTTTTGCTGGACTAGATGAACAGGCTGCTGTCACAGCTGAAGTTTTGAGTGAAAAGCAATTTTGATGAAAAAACAACAACAACAACAAAACCTTGAGACCTTGCATCAGGATGCTTAGATCTCATTAGTATATTCTGCATTTTGAGGGAGGGAAAGTTAAGGTTAGGTTTAACCTTAAAGTTAGGTTAGGTTTTCATTTCCTGCGGAACCCAATTTTCTTACTAACTTGTTCCAGCAAATGGAATTGGAAGTGTTTTTTTTTTTTTTTTTTTTAAGAGTTGTATGGAAGGAAGGAAAGCATTAGTTTAGCTAGAAATGTTAGCACTAAAATAGCGATACAGAAGATGATGACTTCATGACAGCAATTTGAGTTGGTACCAGTTCAAAGGAGAGTGTTCCTAGATCACTTCAGAGGCTGAAGTATTGTAGAGAGTTACTCTTTCAGCACATACTGCTTCAAATGAGAAAGGGGCTTCCTGCGTGTGGTAGGGGGTTGATGTGCACTAGTAATGTGCATCTTTATGCTTTGTAGATACCAACAGCAGTACTGTCCAAGATGGCAATGGAGAGAAGAAAGCAGAAAATTGTCAGTCGGTGGAAAAGCAAATTGATGGTTTACCTGGGCAAATGGCACCCTCAGTTCCAGCTGTCATGGGAGAGGATGAGATGCTGCCGAATGACGTAGATTCTCTACCAGATGAGTTCAGTTGCTTAAGTGAAGATGGGTTGGATCATAAACCTGGAACCAACGCACTTGTTCGAGGGCCTCTAAATTACAATGCGTCTGGAGATGACCAAAAACGGGTTATGGAGTCCACTTCTGGATCTGTGCCAAACTCATTGAAGATAACACCCACGATGCTGGAGGGAAACAATGCTGATATCAAGATTAAAGTGATGAAGGAGGTTCGCAAACCTGGAAGAAGTAAGTACTTAAATCTCGTCAGTATATTAAACACAGTCTAGAGATAGAGAAGACTTTATTATATGAAGCTATCTTTAAAAGGTATTCGTCTTAGATTTGAAATTATTTCTGATTCTATGTGAGCAATAGAGAGACAATAAAGGAGGAAAGTTCTTGCATGCAGGACAGGTGAGCTGAAGTTCAGAAACTAGAGCTTGAGAGGACAAGTGACAAGTGACCTTGTTTGCCCTTGAACATAGGTTGACTGGTTTAAAGTTACCCTGTAAAGCAGCTTTCAAAAATTTTATCTTTGTAGCTCTAGAAAGGTGTTACTGATCTAATAAAAGTATATATTTCTGTGCTGAAGGGGTGCTTCAAAGAGCTCAGCAATGCCTTTCTTAAGAGTTCCCTTTATGTTGCACTGCTCTTTGTGTGTGTGTGTGGTGCTCCTCATTGCTGTGTGTCCTTCAGAGCTTCCCCTGGCTGCACAGAGGCACACGTAGCTGCAAGGATGCGCCGTGGAATGCCCTGGAAGGGGAATCTCACAGTTAATAGGGCTGTGGCATTTTATTATTGTGAAAGGCAGTATAACTGGTGGTTGGAATACTGCCATAAGCACTCATGGGCAAAGGACAAAAAAAAAAAAACATCCTTCCCTTTTTCCTGTAACAGTCAATAACCCCAGTATCTTAAATATTCCAGGGAAAAAGAAATTGCCCCCTCAGCTTTTGCTGTATGTTTTGCCTGTACCTGCATATAGCAACAAACACAAAATGCTAGCCAGACTTCAACCAGTGTACATTTTAGGTGCCTATGGTTATGTATAGACATCTAAGATCATGCCTATTTCATAGGCATAATCTTTCCATTTTTCCTGAACAGTAGATATCCCTAAAATGGTCTTGTGTCTGAGTGAATTATTTCTACAAATTAAACTAAGGCATTTTTTCTGATGCATTGTCAGATGCCATAAAATAGTAATTAGTGTAATGGAGTTTTCTTAACTCTTCAATCTTTCTGATCTCATGTTCTTTTCCTCAAAATTAATGTTATACTGAGACATAATCACTGTGGCAGACTGAGGTTATTGGGAGAGGAAACAATTCTTATGCAGCATATGTATTTTATTTTAAAGATACTTTAAAATTCCTACTTGGTTATGTGTTAGCTTCTTGTTTTGCTAGTCTAGTCTTGGATCAAATTTGTGTGCAGTAAATGATGATACCGAATAAAATAGTAGTATGTTCAGTATAAATCATCTGTCTTCACAGTTCAGGCAGTCATCAAAGAAAAAGGCTGCACACAACGTGTGTAAATGTAAATATACTCACAGCTCAGACCGAATATCCTCGTTCTTTAGCTGCTGCATTACTGTAAATGGGCTCTTAGTCACATCACCATAAATAGCTTCCTATTGGGATCAAATAGGAAAAATATTGATACTTTGATTTTTTTTGTTTGTTTATTTCTGATCTGCAGAAATAGCTTCCTATTGGGATCAAATAGGGAAAATATACCATGATTTTTTTGTTCGTATATTTCTGATCTGCTCTGTCCAAATCATTATTTTGTGATGCATATATTTACTTTATACTATTAAAACAGCGATACTAACAATGCTCAGACTGAGCATTAATAACTTGTCTGTTAAGACAACTAGTCTTAACCTCTGCTTCCAGCCGTGGTGGCTGTAGGTTACAGCAGGGCTTTGTGGCTCTTGGCATGTGTGAACTGTTAGCGACGGTGCTTGTTCATGGGGATGAACTCCTCCAGTGAGCCAGCCCAGCCTGTGCTTCCTGAGCACGGATGCTCCTCGCTGTAACTCCTAAACAGAACCTACTCCAATAGCAGGTTTTCAGGATCGCTTCTAGTTGTTGGTATCAACTGATTTCTGTACATAAAGCTGCTGTTGGCTTTTTTCCTGGTTTTATACCAAATGTCTGAGTGTGGAACACAGGGCTTCGTTTCTTCTTTTGGCTGTAGAGCTCTATTGAAAATATTAAAAGTAGGTTTTGCAAACATGTTTGTCTGATTTATTTATTTATTTATTTTAGATTATGAAAAAATCTTCTCTCTTCTTGAAGAGGTGCAAGGACCTATGGAAATTCAGAAGTATTTCATTGAATTTGCTATCAAGGAAGCAGCAAGGTTTGTATAGAATTAAAATGGCTGGGAATCCTAAATGTTAGTTTTGAACATGATAGCAAATGCTAAGCGTTAAGTGTTCCCAGTTCCCACTTTGTTTTGTATGCTTTTCTCTTTTAATGGATTTAAATTATTATAGTTGCTTTAGCAGTCAAACTGGCATTATATTTTATGAAGTAAATAGTCTGGCAGTAAATCCTGGCAGTATAAGTGTGAATTAGAGAGATGGGTCATTTCTGAAGAAGGACCTAAAATTTGGCTGGGTTGGGGGAACGGCAGCTCTGTTAAATTAGAGGTGCAGTTATAATGCCAGGAATAAAGAAAGCTCTTCCATATTGGAATCAGAGCCTTTGGAAATATCATTTGTTGTGGCTGAATAATCTTAAATTGTTTGTGTGTTTTCAAAAGAAAAAAATTAAATTACTCCCCTCTCTTTCTTAGGTTTAAAAAACGGGTCTTAATACAACACTTAGAGAGAATACTAGAGGAACTAGAGTTCAACAGTCTACCCAACAGAGTTAATCATGTCAACAGTAGATAATAGTGTACCGCCCAGACCTGTATGGACCAGGATTGAGTTTGCTGTGCCACAGAAGAGTGCAAGAGGATGCAGCTGCTGCCCTCACCATCTTGGCAGTCAAGTGATTTTACTGTCCGAATCCGAGAAGAAGCAGTGGAGCTTAAACTTTAAGAACCTCTATCGGCAGAAGCTGGGCTATAACCTTAAGGATTTGCCATGAAAGGTGTGGCTTTTTTCCTGTGGAGGGTGCTATTTGCTCAACAGGCTGAAGAAAATAACCATTGCTGCCCCTCCTGCAGGTGATGAGAATTTACTCATTTGAACACTGTCATTAGACATTTTACGTGCTGTAGGCAGCAGGTTGCACTAAAATGGGGCACTGTCAAATGCACGCACTGTCTGCATCATGGAGAGATCCCGTGTGTTCCCAAAAAACCCTCCCAGAAACACCTGCACTGGTAATATTGCATGTTGCCACCACAGAGACAAGGGTCTTGTTCCCAAGAACTGCTAGCCATGCCTTTAAACTTGAGATTCAGTGTAGATTGAGAGTAAAGAAACTGCTATTGTGTTAATGAAAGCTAAAGACAGCCCTGTGACTGTTACCACCTGATGGTCACTAAACAATCTACCTCAGACTCTCTTCTGTTTTGTCTACAGACATTATGAAAGTGCACCTGAGGCTTCCCAGGTCCCCGACTTCAGTTCTCTTTCATCCTGTGAGGAGGACGGAGATTCTTCAGGTGGCCTTGGCACACGCTGTGCTTTGGAAGCACTAAAAGGAAACGCTTTTAAAAACGTGTATTTTAATGTTCATACAAAAGAGATTATTTTGAACAGTATTGTTACCAGATCACTAATTTGATATTTTAACTGTATAAATTTTTTGGAACATATGTATATATAAAATAAACCATTTTATTAATTTTTAATAAGCGCTAATCTGAGGAGTCTGTAGCGGGCAGCACCGAGTTCCTCTGATTGTCTGTTCCCAACAGACTCGGCATATTTTTGTAAAAGCAGCAGGTAGCACAGCTCCCCTGCACGCGAGTGTGCCCTGCCTGCCCCGAGCAGGGTCTGCAGGTGTTGGTAGGTGCTGCCCTGCCTGCCCCGAGCAGGGTCTGCAGGTGTTGGTAGGTGCTGCCCTGGGTTCCTGGTGCCCAGGTGAGCCCTCCTGCCCGGGCTGGAGGCACCAAGCTCCCGCTCAGCAAACCCTCCGTTGCCCAAGCCGGTGTCCTCTCCTCCTGCTGGTTTTCCAAAGGTAACGTTATCTTCCACAAAGCATATGAACCTCAGAAGACTGAAGGACCTGTGTGTAATTCAATTTTTGTTTTAATACAGTGACAATAATTTTCCTGTAGTGGCTCTTCTGATAATTATTTGTTTTCAGATGGTCAGTTATGTACAAACAGCCTTTATAACCAAAGACAGGTTGAAGTTCTGATTTTAAACGGCTCCTTTCATAGTACTGCAAATGCACTGGGGATTCAGTTGACCAGCCAGCACACAAGATTGTCACTACCGGCCACCTGTGAGGCATCTTTGCAGTCCCCTCTGAAGCAGCAGCCTCATTTCTCAGATGGATGCAGTTTGACCATTGGAATTACACCAGTAAAATGCAAGAAGGAAATAAAATCCATCAGGACGTCTCCACTACGGTGTTATATGCATGAAGCGACGGGGGTAAAACTTGCTATAAACCTGCCCTAGCTCTTCTGCTGGCACTGATGCTGCGTACTACCGATCAAGTGTACGTTTTGAACACGGAAAAAATGCAGTGAAACCTTGGAATGATGTGAAGTAGGATTCATCCCTTTGGACTCCTTATGCGGAAGCTACTTTCATCGTGATCTCCCAAGCCTAGTGCTGGACTCTGAGGGGAATGTGTTGACAGTAGGTCCGATGCATTGCAACAGCTGGTTTTAAAATGGATGTATGTGTCGCATTGTTTTTGAAAAATTAGGTGGTTGGAGGAGATAGCTTCCTTCTGTATAAAGATTGTTTAACTTTCTGTTCTGATTTGAGAAGCACTGATGTGGTTGTAATGAGTCTCAGCAGAGTTGCCAAGGAGTGATTTGAACTGGTGCCGTTGTTAGTTTCTAGACCTGCTCCTTTGGTGTGATACTGTTGGCCACCAAATTAGCTAGCGGAGGCTGACGACTCCTTAGGCTTTCTCACATGGAATCTCACACTTCAAAAGATGTATCCAAACTACAGAATAATCTGTTCAGGTTCAGACAGCAAGAATTTTCCCGTCCTTCACCATTATTCTGAATAGATTGAATGTGGATCAGAATATCAGCAGGGAAGAAACTTGCAGCGAACTGGGCATTAATCTCCAGAAGGAGGAAGCAAGACACTGTGTTCCATAGGTTGTGTCAATGAAGAGATGAAGAAAAAACGGGGAAAGTTGATCCAGTTAAGAGGGCGGTCTCGAGTGTTTCCCAAACAAAACAAACGTGGCTCGCTTAGGAAAACAGTGAATGCTTCGGGATGGGTTTGACAGGGAGGATAAACAGAGGTGGCTCTTCTGAGCCTGCCAGCTGTGCTGGATGAGGGTGGTGAAGGTGTCGGACCTGCAGAACCACAAGGCCCGGCTCGCACTGACGTGTGGCCGGGATGGGCAGGAGGGTCCAGGCTCGAGTCCAGCCTCGTTGCTGGGCGAGAACTGAGCCCGGAGCAGCAGCCGCGCCGTGGGGACCAGACCTGTTGGTTTGACAAGGAGTCTGTGCGGCCGGGTCGCTCCCGAACGGGATCGGGAGAACGCACGGGTGTTTGTGGAGGCTGGAATGCTGTTCCGAGCGGGTGAGGAGGGCCCTGGCCTCCGGATTAGCAGTCCGGATTAACGAGTGCTGCTGCTCGGCTGCGAAAGGCTCCGGGTGCCCGCGGGTGTCCTGCCTTTGGCACTGCCGACCCTCTCCTGGCCGTGGGTGTTCAGAGCGCGGGTGTCTCCCCTTTCTCTCCTGTCAGTTCCGTGGAGTTTGGCTGTTTCCAGCTGGGCTGGTAGGTGTGCGGGTGGCCGCGAAGGCTGCTGGGTGTCCCCGTCCCTTGGTTGTGTGCTGGTTGACAGGAACGGGTTCTTGCTTGGTCTGACCACCTGAACCTGGTTGTCATCTTCCAAGGTGAAGTCCCTGGAGGCTGTTGCTGTCCTACGCTTGGCTTTGCGGTGGCTGAACGTTGTTGCCCCTCTCTTCATAGGAAAGAGCATGTGGAAAAAAGCTGCTTTCCCCCCCAGCAATTTTCTGCTGGTTCCGTCTCTAAACTGGCTGGCTGAAACGGCAGCAGTGTAGGGGAATCTAATTTATTTTCATTTAATTTCTTGCCTACTAAGAAACTTCTGATGGAAAATGTGAGTGAAAATACGTTTGTTACAGAAACGATTTTTGAAGCGAAGCTGCATGTTTCGTACCAGCCGACGCGGCAGCATCGCACCTTGGGCAAACGGATCCGGAACTCTTGGAGACCCTGCGATGCAGTGAAGCCGAACACGAGGCCAAGGACACCCCCGGAACGTGGCAGAGACGAGGCCTTGCAGGCGGCTGCGGGAGGTTTGTTCCGTCCTGGGCTTGAAAGAAGCTTCTGACTGAAACGTCTGCAGGAACTGGGTGTCCGCGTGAAGAGGACGAGGCTGCAGAGGAGCCCCCAAGCCGGGAGGCGGCAGGAGCCCCGCGGCCTGCAGGAACTGCCCGGCTGCGCTCCGGGATCGCCGGGGCAGCGCGGGGTTCAGGGAGCCGTTTCGGAGAGGAAGGGCCAAACGGAGGGGCCGGGGCGGGGCA